TTGAAAAACATCCCAAAGTCCTAATCACAAGCAGCTTTAGATTACTGAAAAGAACAACTTCTCGTGTTCCGTAAACACATGTTAATCTTCTCTTTTTACATGTCATGCTTGTGTCAGACACTAGAAAGGAAAGAAATCCAGACCTGGAGGGTGAAATGAGACATACACGCACACACTTTGGCGTTTGGTGGGGTGGTAAAGCAGGGAAGATGAGGTGCAATCTGTGGCAGTAATCTTGGCGTGAGTGGAGGTTTTTGGCGGAGGCTGAAATGGTAGCTGGATTAAGCAGATGGAGACGCATGAATCCATCTGATAGGATTAAACTTTCTGTGGCTTTCTCTAAGCCATCTGCTCACCATGCTGCTCTGACACACACACACACACACACACACATGTTTAATTTACAATGTAAAAAGTCTCACGCACAAAACACAAAAGCAAAAGACAGGGGTACGAACACAGGGCAAAGCACATCTGAGCAATTACACTTGATCGACACAGTACAGCACAAGAACACACAATAAAAGTGAAAATTAAGCAGATACATTTTAAGATATTCCTATATGTGTCCTTTCATGTCATAATATATTTGATAAAAATGTAACTAACCATTTTAAAAGATGTTTTCTCTTAGCATAATATCACACTTAGGGCTGCATTTTCAAAAGCTTTTCATTACACCTTTTAAAACGACATTTTTCCATATTTTGGTGAGATAAATAAATAAATAAATATCACTATTACTATTGGCAATTGATTTGGGGGGTTGTTCTGTGGTATTAGTTGGTTTTTCTTCCACTAAAACATCACATGATATTTGACAAAATTACAAAAATTATTACTAGAATATTTATAAAATAAAACAAAAAATACAAGAATACTAATTTTAGATAATTGACAGATATAATATTATTAATATTAATTCCAGCAATAGTTATGAGCAATAATTCCTGTAGGGGAGCTTGGCTGTATCAACACCAGGGTTGTGTTTTTTATTTGTCTCTCTGTTAATACATTTAAAAGTGAATATAGTATATACAAAATAACTTTTGAAATTAGAGTGAAGCCAATTTGATTAAAAACACATTAAAAGTAGAAACTAAAACCACAGAAACTACACAGCGAATGTAAAATCACTGCCCACATAAGGTATATAGCACATTAGTGCACATCATGGACAGATTGCATCCCCTTTCCACGTCCCTAGGGTTTGTGCTTGGTGCTCTGGGACAGAGAGACCGTCTTCCGCTGGGATGCACTCAGCTGAGCCATTTTTCCTGTTTTCCCTTTCTTATAAACTCATTTAATGCTGTAGGCTGGAGTATTTGGGGTCACACACCAACCTCCAGCTCCAAGAGATAAATATATCCAGCCAGTTGTTCTTATCGGAGTTGCACTCATTGAGTTTATTCTAACTGCTGCTCTCTTAATGAAACATTTCAGACCTGATCTGAGGTCAGTTTGGGACCTATTAGAACCTCGACCATGATAAGCCCAATTAATATCATCCCTTTGCTCATAATTCAATCTGCACCGTAATAAACAATTTAAAATATAATAACAGCAGTTTCATGCACTAAACAACAGTGGAAAAAATGGGCTGTGGTATTCTTTTCACCCATTTTCTGAGCCGCCAAACAGAAAAACGAAAACTTAACTAACACCACTAATTAAAGTTGTGGATTGAACGGATGTCCTGAGTGTATCCATCTGAAATGTAATAAACTGAAACCCTAACCAAAAAAAAACAGAGGCTTACTCTCAATACAAACTGTAAATCTGTACTTTCTGTCCTTCATCCAAATGCAAACAGACCTCCTGATAGCGCTTGATGCCGCCAGCACGCGGCTACAGACCCCAAGAGACCATCACAGCTTATCACACCATATTCATCCACGACCGTAAATCACCACATCATATGTTCTGTTCTTCCATTCAGATCCAACAAATTTCCCTGGACATCTAAATTCTTGACAGGCTAAATGGGACACTGATTGGATTGGTCGGACGTCTAGATAAATACTTCAAGAGTCTTTGTAAAGCATGTCAGTGTGGGCTTGGTCTTGCGCAGATGGGCTCGGGGAAAGCTAACGCTAAAGCAAAACTCCACCAAGAGAATCTACAGCCATAAAACATACCGATAATCAAAATCAGCCTATTTCTTAATTTTTAAAAGCTTAAGCGAATGAGGTAGAAATGGCATTCTGAGACAATTTTTTGTTATAGATTATTCTGTGTTCGAGTTATTATTCGAGTTCTCAGTCGTCAGTAATCCAATGTGATGGATGTGGCGTCAAAAGTGGGATTTTCCGCTGCATTATGTTAGCAGGATTTAAAGGTGAATGTATACTGACAATGCGAAGAATACACAGTGTGCATTAAAGCATTCATTTTTTAATAACAACTGTATCCTTTTGCCATGTTTGTCAAGAAGAAAGAGGCCTAGCCATGGACAAAATAAACATTTGAGAGATGGACCAATCACAGACACCAGAATGTTTTTAAAAAAATGCATTGGTTTGTATTCTTCAGACATTTGTATTGGTATCCAAAACCATAATGGACAATATTGAGTAAACTCATTCAGTCCCATAATGCACCTCAACAGTGTACAACCAATGTGCGCTCAACAGTTGGCTGCTAGAAAATACCCATGCACAAATGAATTTCCACTCATTTTCTGAATTCAATCTCTTGTTTTCATTCACTTATTCAATGGACATATTAGTGAAGTAATGTTAGGAATAGTGAGTGAGAGTATACGGAAGCTAAACTTAATTAGCAGTTTAGCAGTTTTCATCTAAGATGGTGGATAAAGAAATTCTGACTATAAATGTATAATTTAGTCAATACTGACAAGCAATGAAATTGTTTGAGATTGTTCTTTACCCAGCATTGTACTGTGTATGCTTTTTGGGGTATCATGCTATTAGCTTAGCAACATGCTAACAACAAACTCCACTGGAATCTCCATGTAAGAAACAATACTATATTCTCAGTAGTACCTCAGAGTACCATATAAAAACTATAGTACATGAATATCCCTTATGAAAATTAACCATGGTTTATTGTAGTAAAAGTGTAGTAACCATGTTTTTTGGTGTATTGATTACCATTTGTATAACCACAGTTTTACTACAAATACCATGGTTAAACTATGGTTAGTGTAGCATAGTGTACCAAGTTTTAACCATGTAACCATGTTTTTTTGGTTTTATTCGTAGTAAAACCATGGTTAATTTTCATATGGGATGCTAATCATCAGTACCATCGTACAGTAGCAGTCCCATATTTAAAAATCTGTCCTTTTGAATTTAATGGATCTGGCTCTGTGCATAATTTTTATCCTCTGCATTCAATTAAACCCCACCACATTAATTTCTGCAGATGGAGGGATGGGTTAAAGGAATGAGGGAGGGCACAGGTTAGTGCTTTAATTAATCTCTGCTTCATCTTTTACTCTCTCCGCACCACTGGAGAAGTTACTTAAAGGGCCAAAGCTCACAGACGGCTCCGACAGCTAAGCGTTATCTCTCAGCAACTCATTCACACATACTGGATGGACTTTAAGATTTTGTATCAACACACTATTAATAAAATGTAGACTTGTGTGTGTGGTTATTGTCGGAGGCTTGCAGAGGCTTACTGCATATTTCATCACAGTATAATAAAGTGTGGGTCTACATGATCTGTCAGGGTCCCTGTTCACAAATTAACCAACCTCATCTTGCTCCTTCTGATGCCATTTTTCGTTTCTTCCTCTTGCAAACCAATTGGGATGGGATGAGTAGGCAGAAAAGACTTTGTATTTTGAATCAGTTTGAACTGTCTGATTCATTAAAATGAATAAGGGGCCATTCACACAGAATGCGTTTTTCCATTCCGATGCACTACTTTTCCATTGTTTTTCTATGTAAACATGCACTAGATGGACCGTATGACCGCTGCACTTGCGTCTTGCCTCTTTTGCAGTGCAATGACTCCTTCTGTGTGAATGGCCCCTAAGACTTCCCAATTCCCAATTAGCAGCCAATTCAACAGAAAGAAGTAAATGCAATCCCATTTATCTGCTAAACTCTTGATGTTAAATCCGCAGTAACTCACCGTGCTCCAGATATGACGGCATTCCCTCCGACGGGTCCAGTCGCCGAGCTCTTCTGCCATGTTTCGAGTTGTTGTGCACGAACATATTGTCCGAAACAGCCAGAACATGTCCATCTACGCTTACTGTCGTCGACACAACCACCTGTAAAGAAAGGTTATGGGCATAAATGACAGAAAAAGAGTTTTATTTTGTCACTTTGAAGTAAAGTGTCATTTTTGTGCCACTAGCGGCAACAACTGGAATTGAAGCCTCACCTCACCTCACCAGCGGCACTGTGATTAAAGCACTCACAGTCTCTAATCATTTCCATGCTGTACACTAATTAACACCGCATACAAAACACACTTCTCTGCCAATCCCACAATGCCCCGCTCTCTCCGATTGATTGCTGATAGAGGTTGTCTCGGATTAATTCAATTAAAAAGCGGGCAGTACTTGTGCGCCCTGAGACAATGCGAAGAACGTAATAAGTGTTGGAGGTTGCCATTATGAGTGGCACAAACGGGCCCTCTAAAGCTGCAGAGGCCCCCTGGTACCCCACATAGAGCCTCTTATTTCAATTGCTGTTGAGCTTTGAGAGGAAATTCTGCCTCTTCAAAGAAGAAAGGACTTGGTGAAGAGAGGTAAGTCTCTAAGGGACGTGGCTAAGCATACACTTACACTTTCGTTTTATTCTCTCTCCCTATCTATCTCCATCGTTCACTATCTCTTTTGTTTTTACTGCTCACAGTCTTTGATGCTTAGAGGTGGGATTCCCCTTAATATCTCAATTGTTGCTCCTAGACAGCAATGAAATGGACATTAAAGAGACACTTCACCCAAAAATGAAGATTACCCTATGATTTACTCACCCTCAAGCCATCCTTGGAGTATATGACTTTCTTCGAGTTAAAAA